GACTCGGACTATCGGAAGACAGTGTGTGTCGCCTCTGTTTGGAAAATGATGAAACAGCAGAGCACAACAAACTAAAATAGCAAAAACTAGACAGAAAGACAAAAACTATGGAATGTACTACCACTCAAACGAATGTAGGGATTAAAAAAACGATAGTGTTTAGTGGCGTAGATAAGGCGATTGAGACAAACTTGCCTACATTACAACAGGAAAAAATTGGTGATCAATTGATAATTATTTCAGACAACTCTGGTTATAAAACAATATAAAATCAGTGATTATAAAGGAGTTTCATTCATCTTGGATTTAAATTAATACATATAATAAGATAACAATAATTTTTTTCATGATCGATCTCTTACCTTCACCCAACTGAGGCTGGTAATTCTGAGAGAAGAACTTTTCGAATTTCATTTCTTTCACTGCTGGTGCCACGATCAAACTGTTGAATAGTTTTTCTACTTGTTTTGAGGATAACTTTCTTCTTTTCGGAGGTGATGGATTTGGAGCCGGAACTTTAAACTGAGAAAATATTTACTTTAGTAATAATAAAAATATGAAAGAAACTTCAAATATTTCTTTACGGAGCAGACAAACTACAATAATTCTTGGGATTACAAGCCCGCAAAATTTGAACATTTGCCTTATTTTTCAACAGACCTCGTATAGTATATATTTCTAAAATATTTCAACTGAGTAATAGATGAATTGGATAACACCTTTTCACTATAATGTATGATTGTAGAAAATGCTATTTCTCTCTTCTATGACATATTATATCACGTGATTGATATTATTGCACCTCTTAAATATTTTCAACTAAGCTAAGTAATAAAGAAGAATAGATTTTACAAAGTTATAAGTACCTGGGTTGCATTGATGATCTGAATATATTTCGTAACTTACACACTCATTTCATAATATATATCTTTATTTGAAATAGGAAACCTAATATACATATCTATGGGTGTAATAATAACACTAGCACAAAAAATTCACTCGACAATTCTAACACCTTTCCATCAATCCCATACTGAGCCAATTTAAACAACATAATTTCTCTATCAATTGTCTCAAAAGCTCTTTTTAGGTCTGAAAATACAGCAATAATATATTTCTGGCTATCTGAGTTAGTTTAAATATTACATACTGTGAGTTGTAATGCTGTTTCACATGAGAAGTTTTTACGGAAACCCGATTGATTATCCATCAAAATTGAATTTTTAGTGTTGTGATGTAATAACTGATCATATACAGCAACTTCCATTGTGATAGGTCATTGTGATAAGTTACAACAAGAGGGTTTTACTAAATATACAGGGTCGCTGATATATATGGGAATGGTTGATTATCTCTTGAAGTAAGATAGCTAGCGAAAAATGTCAAGATACAAAAGTTTAAGGGTTTTTCTAAATCCATCATACTACATAAAAATTGAGCGTACAGGATCTGTCAAAAAGTCTTAAAGAAATAAAGTTGTTTATTCTTTAATATTCCTAAATTCTACCGTTAATAGAAATGCTTTTTCCTAAATTCTACCGTTTTTGAGATATTGAATTTTGAAAATAACTTTTTACTACTCTCAAATTTATCAAAGAAAAAGCATGAAATGATTGATATTCATTATGAAAGTCACACAAGGTGGAGTATGTGGATATGATTACAATTTAATTATAACTTTTTTACCACAATTTATACCACAATTTACCACAATTTATACCACAATTTAGTGGTATCTTCTAGCTGAAGATACCACTAAATTGTGGCATAAATATGTGTCAATATGTATTGAATTAACATGTTCTCACCTTGACTTTTTCTCTGGGAGGTTTGGTTTTGACAACTCGGGGGATAATTCTAGTCCTGCTAGAAACGAATGGAGTCATCACATCTTTGGTAGCAGCATTCACATTTTTGTCGATGGGTACATTGTTATTTTCTTCTAACACTCTACGAGGAGAGGAAGTTTTACAATAACTATGATCGCTCATTATACTTCTCGTCTCAAAATCATCTGAATTTTCTAGGTTTTCGGTATCATCACATATATTGGGAGCATGTGGATTAAGATTCTCCTTGTCCTGTTCTCTATCGATGTTAGCTGGGAACATCTGAGTCGATTTAGTGTTGGCGGCAGAACAATTTTCTACCGATTCCATTGCAACTGTGTGTGGATGATTTGTATCAACTGTTCCCAGTAGATTTTCATTCTCCGGCAATTTATCAGTCATCAGCGGTATCGTAGATGCCCCATTTTCTGCTGTATCTTCTTTTTGATTCTGAGCTGTCATCACAGAATTTTCGAGGTTTGCGTCCGAAATTTCTGTCCTATTCTCGCTAACGTTTTGAATCGTTTCACCTCCAGTACTCATTTCAACAGGTGCTGAAACTTCCGTGTTGTGAACGTTAACTTCTTCATCGCAATCAACATCGCTACCAAAAAACCCAGAATCTTGCCGATACTTTTTGGTGATGATATCAGAAGACAATTTCTCAAGTCTAACAAACAAATCTGAATTTGAAAGTTCTGTCGGGCAACCTATGCTCAACTCAAACAAGCTATCATCGTCACACTCGTCTAGCATTTTCTCTAAAGAATTACGATCAGAAATATGGTTTACATTGGAGTTAGTTTCTTTGCCAGTTCCTGGATCTGGGTTAGGGGATGTAGATGAAACGTTATGAGTATCTATCTCTGTCTCATCGTCAATTCCCTGTTCTTTCTGTGAGAGAAATTCCAGTTGTTTATGGAGATCATCCAGCGTGTTCAGAGGCATGTTTTGCCACTTTTCACCTTCCGCTTCGAAAAACTGCCTTCTATAAGCTAGATATTCTTCTTTATATTCAGTGTAGGGAGCGCTGAAGGGAATTTTTCTGTCTCTGAGAAACTTAACCCTAAGATAAGCTCCTAAGCGGAGGGTGGCTATCAAGTTGTTTTTATCAGGTAACAAACCTTTAGTATTGTATTCAAACAAGTGCTCTATATGGTGCCACCCTGGAACTCTGCTATATTTTGTATTGAATTCGCCGTCTTCTGCATCGAAAATATCAAAGTCTTGACTCTTCATGGTATAATAGTTTTTCATCCTGTACATTGTGAGCTGCTGTTTGTAAACTGCGTTAGGAACACTTTTTATTTTTGAGCTCTCTACTTCCAAACTCTTCCATGCTCTCTGTAAAGTTTCATCTGGCTCAAATGTATTCAGCTTGTCCTTATCTTCATTTATTGGTTTATCAAATAAAAACCGTTCTAGGTTGTCCTCCTGTGCCAACATAAGTTTGAATTTTTTCTTTCGTTTGTATCTGTTACGCCTCTCCTCTAGCTGCTTTATGACTTCATCATTTACCTTTTTCCCTCTGAAAAAAATAAATAAATGTAAGGTTAGGTCATAACAATTCTATAGGATGAAAAAGAACAAATGAAATAACATCATAAAACCGATGATTCTTGGTATGAAATATAAAATGAACAGTAATAATATCAGAATCCTCATTTGCAAATTTATAGTAAAAATCTGGAAAAAGGTTGAGGAATTTTAAAAACCTGGTATTCATGATGGACAGAAAATGAATTTTTAACGACTTTTATCTCCCAAAATGATCTAGCAAATAATAATTGAAGTACAATTCAATTATTGTTCTACCCTACTCTATCTAGCATTCTAAAAATTGTGTAGATCATAGATTTTTCATTTACAAAAGTAAACTTATACACGTAATCATAAGTTCAATGACTATTTGAATAAGTAAAAATTCCTCAACGGTGTAGCAATTTCTGTCAATAAATTGAGTTTTCAATCGTGATTTAAAAATTGGTGTATTAGTACTTCTCACACTCATATCAAACTTGTTAAAAAAATTAGACCCTTTGATGAGCAGTTCAAAGAAGCTAAGCATCCCTCTAGCCCTAGAAGGGTGAGAATGGTCTAGTTGTTTGGAGAATTTGCTCATATTGTAAAAAACAAATATACATAACTTCCTCCAACCCAGTTGGTTTATTCTAATAGCATACTATTGCCATATGAAAACCCTCTCTGCAGCGGAACTTATATGCCAGTTCAAACTCCTATATCGAAGGTGACAACCAACAGTTGCATCACACAGATATAGTACCCGCCAACTAAGATGAGATTTTAAAGCGTATTCAAAACCAAATTGTACCCGCCCTAGAAGGTAGCTATTGGTTACACAAACTGATGTCAATAGTACTTTGGTGAATTATGACTCAAGTGGGTGGAGTCTTTTAACACAGAACGATTTTACGTTTCTACGCTGACACATCTTAGTTGGCGGAACTATATTCTCTTGAAACAATGATTTGACACTATCTTTGAATTTTTTGCTGAACTCAACTGTCCTTTAAAGAAAAGTCTGAGCGATAACACCTCTCTTTACGAAGACGCCTTCTACGAGTTTCACAGAAGACCCAATTCCTGAAAATCAAAGATAAACGAGGCTCCCAAAAGGCAGTCTGTTGCAAAGCCAAACTTCTACCTGAAAAGCCAAATAAGAATCATGCGCTGTCTTTCCCTGCACAAAGCATTCGTGATCCAACACAGTGGTGGTTTCAACTTGCTGCCTTGCAGTGAAATCTGTAGACAAAGACAGGACAGATCTAGTTCTGAGCTTGATGTCTTTGAGAGCCTTGTCTATCTTTAATAATCGTGGATTGAGTCTTCCGTTGATATCATAAATATTTTTTTTGTAAAGAAAAATGTCACCATCTTATCTTACATTGAGGTATGTATCTTCTGTTGCAGACTTAGGAGTCATATTTGATGAAAAATCATGATTCGTTGAACACATTAAAATATGTCTCTAAAGTGATCAAGAGTTCCAGGAATTTTATGATGTAACTGTTCAGCATCTTCTGCTAAATGCATGAAGAGAATATCAAGTACAAGTGTATATCACATGTAGAATATGCCTCTATATGTTTCATAACTAGTGGGGTTGTTCTCCTAATTTAATATACCTGCTAGAAGCCTTTATTTAAACTACATAGGATTGGTAAATATGCCAACATTGGATTTGTTCGTATGCTAAATATATTACTGTATCTGACTACAGCTGTAGCTATTTTTGTAGCTTCAAGGTACTCATTACTATATTAGAAACAGTAAAAACAATTTTCAAGACGCTATGATTTCAAGCTGAATAATAATTTTAGATCATAACTACTCATCAATATCAAACTTGACAACTTGTTTCCAGTACAATAAGTAGACTCCATACAAATTCAAATTTTATCTTCAAATGATTTTGTTTACTAAATGTTCCCATACAGTTGCTGAGAAATCTACACCTTTTTTATCCTAGTTGTGTTTTGTTGGTACTCAGATTGTCATTCCATTTAAAATGTATGCGCTAGGTTAAAGGTGAAAAATTGATAAATAAAATAAACATGTGAAGATGCAACTAACTTCTCTTTCTCATGAGCACAATCATATTCTATAAGCCTGGTATGGAATTCGAGAAGTTGATCCCACAATAAGTCAACTTTTTTACCATACAGTTCTGCACAACTTTGAAGGAAAAGTGCAGCTTCTGCAAAATTGATAGTGAATATGCCATTATTCATAAACTTCTTCTGGTGATTGATCTTGTCGCTGAATAACTCCAATGCCTAGAAAGATTGTTCATTATATTTGTACAAGATTCTTCTATATAGAAATTGCTCACAGATCTTAGCTCATCATCTATCTTGGGCTTCTTACACAGTGCGTTGATTTGCTTTATTATCTGCCCAACTGGTGAATTATAATCGCACTCCTGATCCATTTTTATAGATACTTAGGTATATGTACTTATGTAAATATTGAATGCAACCAGGCAGAATTCCCAATTTCCTAGAATAATATAATTAAGAACATGTTTTATTTCGTCAATAGCAACCTACCGTATAACAATCAAATATCTCCATAAAATAATATTCTTCTTAATAAGAAAATCGTAATATTTGTTAAAGTAAAATATTCTATACAAACACAAGCCTTTGCCATTTTGTTGATTTATTTCCTCCCTGCTCCCCGCAAAAATGACACATTTCAATCATGTTTTCTTTCTCTTTTACCATGCCTTAGAATAAAACAGCAGATATTCCAATCGAAAGCTAGCCTTCGTAATCAACACCAATCCGTCGCACATGCGTAAACGACTAACTTCGTCGTAGCCGACACAAAACATTTGGAGATATTTGGAGGAATGGAAAACGTCATAGCATTTTCTATCTATTTAACTACTGTCTGGATTTATTTGATATTGTTTTCAAACTAATACACGTTCAAATCTTCTTCATACAATAGATATTTTGAAAACATGTTCTGAATTCAAAACTGACAGTGGCATAGAAAATTTCGCGGGATATGTGATCACTCTGATAGGTACGTCACTTTGCGAGAAATGTGTGTTTAAGTAAGAGACGTTAAACACTATCTTGGAGTTCTATGTATTTTTTCATTATAAGAGAGCGTGCACTTTCAATTTTTTTCTTGCGGAATTGGACTATGAAAAATTTAAAGGAAGGACAAAATTTCTGTGTCCCTGAATAATAATGACTTGTGAATTCTGAACTTGAAGAAAAAATTGATCAATTTGTTTTCTCAATAGTTCTCAGTCCAAGAGGATCACCAAGGAGGCTACATCAAGATCTTATAATTCGAATTCAGCACTCAGGAAAAACATGGATGCTTTTCATAGGAAATTATATTCACAAATATTCAAATGATAGCTGTTTAATTTTTGTGTGATAATCTTTTGGTGTTCAGAACAGGCGAAGCGTAGTAGCCTCCTGGCCGGCACTGAAAGTTTGGTTTTGACTTTCAACTGCGACCTGCCTCAGAACGAGTTCGTCACAAATATTTCTGGCCACCATGAACAAGAACAGTAATGAAAATGAGCGTTTATATAATAGTTCACATCTATAAGGAACTACGTGTAAAATATACAAACGAGCATAAATACACAAAAATGTGTGTATTTGTTTTTACAATATACAGAGTAGGTACACATATTTCTAGTCGTTTTCCGAAAATTTATAAAAAATAGATTCCTCTTGAAATGATCTTTTTTATATACACGATACACACTTTTTGTCATTTTTCAGCATTTATAGAGAGTATATTGATTGTTTCCAAAATGCATATTCCCACTGAAAAATTGAGCAGTCAGAGAGGATACAAGAGTGTTATCCAATTAGTTTTCACTTTCGAGTGTCTTTCTTCTGTTAAAAAATATTCAACATGTCTGCTGAGTATCACACTGGTAAGCAAACAAATCATAATTCAAATGTATTAAGAATATAATAGAAAATCAAACCTTACCTATAGAAAGCCTATATAGAGGTGTGAAAGTGGCAGATAGGCAATTGAGCAAAGGCAATTGTCTTCGATTTGAAAAAAAAATGCTGCAAACTGTATCATGACAAAGCCCCTCCATGTTATAAGATTTGCCAATAAAATGAATGTGTATAGTAAATCATAATTGTGTTCATCTGCCAAAGTAATTTTTAAAAACGGTGACTGTCTTTAGACACTATTGAATTTACTCAAACCATCCTTTAGTTTTAGTTAGAGACAACTCGATGTTCCATGATAAATGTTTTTACGATTTTAGTGTTTTCAGTTTTGTGTTCAGTCAATGCTCCGTGCTCAGACGAATTAGATTTATAGTGTTCGGAGTTGTGTACATTGATTTGAATTTTCAATGTAATTGAAGAAACAAAATAGTTATCTACTTGAATTTCAACAATTTGAAAGATGGGAGCTGGATATACATGCATGAAATATCTCTTCATCGTTCTCAATATAATATTTTTAGTAAGTATTTACATTTTCAGAAGCCATTTTTGTATTCTAATGACAAACATTAATCGATAAATTTCAAATCAAACTGCGTCTTATAATTTGGTGACAATATTTACAAGTTTCCCACAATAACATTTCTTATCGAAATATATTTTGTGACATCTTTGATCGACCGAATTTGAATGAGATATTTTTCTGACAATTTGAATATTTTTGTGAGTAGGTAGGTACTAAAAGTTTCAGATTTCAAATCAATTGCATCATCAACATAACTCCAAACATTGAAATTTCTTTATTTTTATTCATAAGTGTCATAGTTTTTATTCATATAACACTTTTTTCATTTCTGCAAGATGTTTAAACTTCAATAAATTACAGCATAAGATTATCAAAAAAAGAATATGAATGATTGGTCAAATAAGGACACAACAAACTATTATTATGATAAATGATTCCTGTCATTGTTTATAAATAACTATGATGAACTTCCTATTCTCTGATCTTTAATTCATTAGTGTTGCTGAAATGAATAATAAACAGTTGTTATTTGTTAAAACAACAATAAAATATTCAATGTCACCACATACTTTACCAAAAGTCCACAGACAAACGTGATGCGCTAAAAGTATATAACAAAATTCCGATTCCTATGAAAAAAAGATTTTAGCAGTATATTATGTATTCAAAACTTTTTTAATTAAATATCCAAAAATAACAATTATATAAAGTTACATTAAAAAACAGTTACTTAACTATGTCAAGAACTGAAGTGAAACAATAGCTAATTTTTTTCTACCATTCCCATACTGGAATGAGCTTTCCCATTGTCACATCAAATATCTGTCAAAATGCTTGTCAAAATTGTTCACACTACAAAATATCAAAAAGATATTGTTGTTATTTCTTTGGGGATAGGTTATTCTCATCATCCTATTGATGCTAGTTGAACAAAAAAATATTGAATCATCACATTTCTACCACTATTTAAGGTTTACTAGTGTTAAGTAAGTAACTATTATGTCAATGAGAATGTGTCCTGATCTCTTTGAAAGTAGTAATGTGCTGACAATCAAAAGTCAAAAATTTAGTAATTCTTCAAGAAATACCTACAACTACCATTTTTTAGAAATATGTCAAATGATAACTGAAATCCATTAGATGCAATTGAGACAACAGATCTGCATTATCGAACGCTTGCCAAACGAAGCGAGCTAATCAAGCATTCAGATTTGTATTAAACGAACACACCTCATATCGATATTGAAAAACTCGAATTTTTTAAGACATCTTGGCATATTTTGTGTTTAGATATATGTGAATTAGGTCACTTTAATTTTTTTAATAAATACTGTGACATAAGGCGTCTCAATATATCTCTCCCAGGAGAGAAAACATATATTTTATATGGTACAAGCTACAAGAGAAAGACTAATTTAACTGGTACTCTTTCGTATTTTAATGAAAACAATCATAATTCAGACAAAGCCAAAACATCTTGAAACACTACAATACATTCTATCAAAAACCAGGATTCACTTGCAAAGAGCAGTATGACATATAAGATTTGTTACCTAATGTTTTCATAACATGTTGATAAAAGTAAAGAATTTGAGTCGCTGATGAAGTTTCTTCTTGATAGTACTGACATATTTTATTTGTTGTCATTGGTTTGAATTGAACGACTCCACCTTATAACATTAACATTAACATGTTAACTAACAACGGTTTTATAATATAATAATTATCAGATAGATTAAAAAATCAGTTCACAAACAATTCTGCATTAAAACTGAAAATTTAGCAAATATGGCTGACTAAACTGACTATATGTATTCAAATTTCAATCAGTATGATACTAAAATTAAGAACCATTTTTACCAACATCAGCTATTTCCAAAGATTTATCCACCTTTCTAATTATTTATTGGACATAGATAAAATCTGTAGGTTCTTAAACATTTTGGAGAAGTTCTTATACTTTGCTGAAATTCTCCAATAATTCGCGTTTCTATAGATTTATATTTTGTGCTTGTTTTCTCTTTCCTTTAAAATCTCTTTTGAAAATTTTATTGTCACTTTTTACACAATTTTCATGGTCTGAATATAAGGTATCATTATTTATTTAATATTCTTATTTAGCTCTTTGCTGTTGCTGGAATTGCAATCTCAATATGGATGTTTGTCGATCCGACCATTCCGTTGCATTTCACACAGGAATCAAAGGATTATTTAATTTCAACAATAATTCTTCTTCTGGCCTCCATTATCCTCCTTATCTTGTCGATCTTGGGCATATACAGCGTCAGTAGAGAGGTTCGAAAGTCTTTAGTTTTGGTGAGTTTTAATCATATTGCTATTCATGAATCATAATTCAAAATTTCTTGTATAATGAGTGTATTTTTTTTTCAGTCTTTCTGTCTTCTTCTGATCATCGTTGTTGCTGAAATAGCAGCCGGAGTATGGGGCTACATTAACAGAGATAGCTTGGAGTCTCATATCCGAGCTTCCGTTAAATCTACTGTCAGAGAGGATTACGATAAGGATGAAAACATTAGGAATCTGTTTGATACAATTCAAATGAAGGTGAATTGAAGATAATTATTAGACTAGTTAAATTAATTATCTAGTATCTAATAGAACTGAGTTTGTCTTTCCGTGATTACATGATACACATTTTATATATAATAAAACATTTTGTGGCTTCAGTAATGGAAGTGTAATAGAGTGTTTGCACCTACTTGGATCGAATACTTGTATTGTGCAACAAGTTTCTTGATATACATACAGCAGAGAAGCTACAGAGGAGGCTAAACTACTCCAAATGTCCTCTTTGTGATGGAGGATCAAAAAACGGAGCAATTTCACTTTTCTTCATGACATTTACTAAGAAATAAATGCTGGCCACTTTTGCGACCTCACTAAAACCTTTGATTGCATCAATCACAAAATATTGTTTGAAAACTCTATTGATAGGATGTGAAGATATGATTTTCAAATCATATCTTTCAGGGCAAAATCAAATGGTTAGGAAAAATACATTCTCGGAGAGTAGGATAATAAAACTTGGTGTAACACAGGATTCTGTTGGGTCCTGTCGTGTTTCTGTTATATTTTAATGATATGACTATGACGATTATCTGATTGTGTCACTCTTTTTATGGATGATACAAAGATATCCTCCGGAAGGTATAAGAGTATAAGGTTAAAAAAATGAAGTGAATTTAAATTTTTCTGAAAAAATATTAATTAACCATTTTGCAACAATAACAAATAACTGGTTCAATAAATGAAGGTTCCGGCCAAACCCATCTGAGTCTCAGTTCATTATATTTAATCATCAGAATTCCGCAACTTTTCCAACAATCAACGTTTTCCAACATATTGATTCCAGACAAAATTTCAACAGCCACGTCAATAACAAAAAAAAGTGATTGCAAGAACCGCACAATTCACAAGTTTGACAAACCCGGGAGCAGGTGCAAACATATCACCAGCAAGCCGAATATATAAACTAATCTGTCGTCCACTTATTGAATACTCTCACCCACTGTTTCTCAATATCAAACAAAGGGCCTTGAGAACAATTAAAGTATCTGAAACAACGGCTATAAGGAAAATAACAAGATTAAGGCATCCCAATAACCCCAAACACAAACCTCCAAACCCTCTGCTGTACCAACTCACTGGTATTATCCCTATCGAGGAAAGACTACCATCACTTACTCAGAAGTTTGCTAGAAAAGATGACAATATAGAAATCATTAGAAAGTATGCTGTGACAAGAAACCCCCATGCAAGAGTATGACATCGACATCCAACAGAAACACTGTTAGAAAATTAACACAACTTTATCAATGAAATTGTTTTGTTTGTTCATTTCTATATCCATATATTTTTTTTTTATATTGTAAAATAAGCTATGTTATTTCAAAGCAATTTTGTTACACGGGCGAAAGGACTTCGGTTGATAGCCAGTTGAACAAAATTGTAATTTTGTTCAATGAATTACAATTATTATTATTATTTATTCATCAATTTCTATTTTGTCCCCTTCAAAGTGGTCCCCTCAGATATAATATACTTGTACCAGCTTTTTTCCAATCTTTGAAGCAGTTTTGATATGCACTTTTTGGTATGTCCTTGAGCTTTCTCAGAAATTCGATTTTCATCCCTGCAATCGCCGCAAAACGCCGTCCTTTCATGGGTATCTTCAACATTGGGAACAGGAAAAAAGTCCCAGGGGGCCAAATCTGGTGAATACAGTGGCTGAGGCATAACTATGGTGTGACAAGTGAGCAGGTGCATTATCGTCAAGCAAAAGCCATGAATTGTTTTTTCACAATACCTGACGACTGTTTTCTTGGTCAATATTCAGCAATTTTGAAACGAACTTCGATGTCTTACACGTCGTGCCGACATCCTTAGCAACTTCTCTAATAGTAATTTGACGATTCTCTATACCAATTGTCTTCACTTTCTCAAAATTTTCATCGGTAAGAATTACTCAGTTTGAATAATTTGAAGGTGAAGCAACGGGAAACAAGGGATGATAAATATGTCTTCATGGTGAACAACCACGTGACAAAATATGGACACAATAGTCCACTATCAAGAATTCTGAGAGAAGCCAAAGGGTCATGTCTCAATTTTTTTCACAACTCTTTGGAAGTTTTCAAACATGAGGTCAAGGATTATGTATTTAGTATGTAGTCAATTGAAGTATATATTAGTTTTAAGTTGGTTTTTACTGTGTAAGTTATTAATTATATACAATTTTATTACAAAGTTGTAAAACAAGAGTATCTATCCCGTTTATACTAATAAGTAAATAAATAAATATCGTTCATAAATTAATTCACTTATTTTTAACGTATATTCCAGATGCACTGCTGTGGAGCAGAACTACCCACAGATTGGAGTCGCGGTAAAGAATTTAATATGGTAATATCAGGTAATCCGAACAAGTACAACATTCCCGAAAGCTGCTGCAAGACTGGCTTGGAACCTCAGAAATGTACCAAGGCCACCCAAGGAGTCGAAATTGGTGCTGACCTCGATAAAAATGTCATTTACGAAAACGGCTGCTACACTTTGATACTCAACAAGCTGAAGGATAGCGTTTGTATAATTATGATAGTTGGAGGAGTAATTCTGGCAGTTCAGATCCTCGGTTTGTTGTTAGGCCTAATGTTAGCATGTTCAATGAACAGGTCGCATCGTTACAAAGGTTAAAAAAGGTTGACAGGATTGGAGAATATTATCTAGTTGTTTTTTGGAAAAGTTTTGTTTTGAATGGCAGTTCACAATAGTTTTGTTTCACTATTTCTTGGGAGTTTGATTTTATTGACAGAATTATTTTCCACTTACTCTGCTTCCATTCTTTTTTCAACTGATTTTTAGATTTCAGCTCGAAACAACTTTGTCAAGAAAACAACTAGATAATTGTTATAATTTTATTAATCATTCTTTGACTTACAAATATACGTACAAATAACTTAAACAAATTGATAGTTATGTTTTTAGTTAGACAGATGCTTTATTTTCTGATGAAGTTTAAACCAAAAATCATTATATATTCTATGAAACATTTTACTATACTTTAAAGATGTACACAAAGTTTCTAAATATCTTTTTGATGTATGTGCCATATTTATATTTAGATGCAGGTAATCCACAAAAATCGTATTGAAACTTTCGTGGAACTTGTATATTCTTGATATTTAGTCGTAACTTTACTCGAATCTCGAAGGAGTCTCATTATTTAGTTTCATAAATTAACCAGAATTATTTATTGTTACGGATGTGTTGAAAAATTGAAATTATTCATTAATTTTTACTAAGTACTTCACATCACTGCATAATTCAATTTATTTTACTCATCTTATTGATTCGGGAATCTCAAGATGCTGAAAAGGGGAAGTCCAACTTTCCCGTTTTCATCATTGATTAATCATGACATGAAAATTTGACTGATACTAATAATTAAGAATTAAGTTATTTCTTTTACTTTGCACTGCCTATTTTTGATATTTCCCATTTCATCATGGACATGCTCTGTAACTTTTTTATTCTCTTTTTTTAACTGAAATGGGTAATTAGTTATTTAATATTGCAGAGAATCTTTTCGAAGGTTTTTCAACCAATGCTTATATTTTTTGTTTTTGAAGACTTAAAGCTGATAGCTTTATGATTTCTATTCCTATTTGTTTCTTGATCGATATGTGCATTTCAAGAACTACAATGTAGGAATGTGTTTCTGCAGGTTTGCCTCAAACATATAGGATTATTGAAGTGATTATGAAAATCTACCTATAACAGGAAGTTAAATGTAATTCTACTATAATTATATGATTGTCATCATCTTGCTGTCATGTACAAAATTACAAGCCAAAATTCATTTTTTGAAACACCAAGTATTTTTGTTGAATTATTTAAATTGTTATTGAAAAACTTTTAAGTGCCGATCCAAACTTTTCATTTGTAATGGGCATAATCAACAACAACATTTGAGGTAAGCAGCTAATAAATGTATACTTATCAGACTTTACATGTACGATAATATGAAAAATTATTTGCACTTAAACCTTGCCCTTATTTCAGACTGATTGAAATAACGTGCAACGGCCGATAAGGAAAGAATGTTAATGTGAAGTGTAATTTCGATGATACCGTCGGAGACCGAAAAGAACTTCTTGCTGCTATCAATTTGTAATTTTTGTCATTGTATTCTGGTTGACAGGCGCTATAAATATATATTGAAAAATACTCAAAATGGGATTTGACAGAACAACCCTGTTGTTTGAAAAATAACTAAATTTTTATTAAAAATACAACCAAATCTCAAGGGTTAACCCTGCAGAAACATATTCATCTGTTGATAATTGAATTCTAAATACTTTAATGTTGATTGTAAAACAAATTATTAGAATTCTCACAATGGGATCTCGTGCTGTAAAAAATGGATTCAAAATATATATGTCTGAATATTGAGATCAATGAGTAACCTGTCTTATTTCTAGTCTTCTTCCACCCTAGTCTATTCTAATTGCTCATTTCAGTGAATTGCAAAATTGAACTAAGTTTGTATCTTTCTACCTTATACATCACTGTGCATGAACAATGTTTAGCTTTACAGAATACATGTAAAAGTAGTTATAGTATTGCAGTAAATCGACACATAGATGTCCAACAAAAAAAACGCACTATAGATTACTGATAATTCCCTGACAAAATATGTTGTAGGCTTTGATGACATATTTTATCAGTTCTCGAGACTTATGTAGATGTGCCAACTTAGAGAAAACGTTAAGTAAATCATATCATGAAAGTAAGCATTGCATCACTGTTTCCCCAGAAATGTTGAGATGTGAGATAGTCGGAGAGTGGGTTTTTTTCAAAGTTTTTCAAGTATATGAAGAAATATTTGTCTATTAATAAGGAGCTATAATAATATACAAACACTGCATCTATATTTTATAATTTGACTGTCAACTCAGGAAAAACATTCAGGTATCAGTTGTTTCATTATCCACATATTCTTTTACACAAAAGTACTTCTTTACATTCAATGATAAATTCAAAGTAAATTAACTTCGATCAGTAAATCAGCACTAAAGAAACAAAAAAAAATTCAAAATTCCACTTCCAAAATACAAATCATGGAATTATAAAACAACAAAAAAAAATAATTGGCACTCAAGGGGCGACTTCATTGATTCCAGTGGCGCATTTGCTTTTTCAGCTGCAGGAAAACCCGTAAAAAACCTCCAGCACCATAATTATAAAAAAGTTGCAGATTTGTTAACAATTTGATTTATAAATTAAAATTTATTGGCTGAAACAAAACAATCATATCAGAGATTGTGACCAGTGACGTCAATCTGGGTTAGTTTTTTATATTTACCTTTTGTAAAGCAATCGGACTGATTTTTCAAATTTGTTTTTTTTTGTACTGTTCAAAGTACTTTTTTATTAAATAGAAAAAATTGTCATGCAGTAGTTTTGGAGGGTAACTAATGTTTATTTTTGTTTGAAAACCCTAGCTAAGGATCTAATTCTTTTAGAGCTTCAAAACTACTTGAAAGCATACTCTCTGTCAGTCTTATTTCATTTCTAAAATATTTTGAATGAAGGCGGGTATACATCATTATAGCCCAAGTTTACAATTTTCATTCAAGCCTTTTTCATGCTGAACTCAGACAATTTTACCGATATTTATTGTCACAACTTATATATAACCAAAGTTAGACCGACCACCTAAGTTTTTTATTAATTTTTTTTATTTGATTATACATGACAATTATCTTTTACTGAAACATCATAGCTTGCGTCCACCAGTTTCCAGCGGTCAAAGCTGTTTTACCCCGGAATATGGTAGACAGTATTTGCTGAATTCGGCCGCTGTAAAATCTAACAGTTAACAGTTCTTATTTTGTCTACATAAATCTCTGCACCGAAATTTGAAGACTAGATTAATAGGAACGAATATAATGAAATCTCAATCAACTGAAATAACATTAATTTTATTGATTCAAGAAGTAATTTACACCACTTTCAGCGCAGTGCTTTCTGCTTTTTCGTCCTAGACGCAGCTATTGTTATTGAATGTAAATTAACCTCACTTTTTATTAATTTACTGGAATTGGATTGGTTGTCTAAACAAAATTTGTATAGAAATTTCAGGATATAATATGTATGGCAAGAGACAGTGCAAAAATTATGCAATTGATGTATATCTGCTTCGAAATCTACGTTGAGTTAATGTTGAACATTGCTGAAATTCTCTTCATTGTGTAAAAAAAAATCTGATAAATATATTTATTAATTACATATGTTCAAAGGATTTAAATGTAACGAAGTGCGTAAGATGTTTATGATACACAGCCAGTAAATGCTTTGTAACCAAATACATATAGACTGAACTGAGAAATGCGTTCTAAAACATACACTCAATGAATTTATCTCACAGAGAAAGACAAAACAGATTGTGTAAATATATCTTATTGTGTGGCCATGGTTTTGGCCGTTTAGGAATTGTGATGCATGTTTCTATTTTTGTATTCGATTCAAATTGAATGTTTTTTTTTTTAGTTTGACATTTGAAATGAAATATATGAACAGCGTCTAAGAGATATGCTGATTTTTTTATCCTAATAAAGTACTAATATTTGTGGTATTACGTTGAAATTTATAGATGTTTGTATTATTTTTTTGTTCTAATGAATAAATCTCACCTTTTGAGGAGACAATGGATTTTTCTTTGTTTTTAAAAACTACTGTATTGGGTGTCCCAAATTTTGTAAACTATAGCTTTTACATATGGCCCTCCATGGTTCAGGTAGATGACATCTCGAAAATTAGTTGATGTTATGACACTTGAATTTGATGATCTGGGGACGGAATTTGGGTTAGGGAACGTGTCCTTGGAGGTGGGTCTTATATTAGGAAAGGTCTTATATTTTGGGGGAGACCTTAGATTTGAAGTTGGGTTTTTGATGTTAGGTTTTCGAGTTGGGTAGGTTTTAGAAGATGATATTTTGCAAAGTCAAAAAGGGTGTATTTTTGTTATAAGAAGTTTGATGGCAAGATCACGTGATATTCGAAATGTTTTAAGGGGGCTGCATTTTTGAGACACATCTAAGATAGTTCTGAGATGAAATAAAAGCAGCGATATGAGGGTGGGTGAGAGTAATATATAGATATGTAGATTTTTTGGGGCAGGTTTTCAGTTAGGTCTTAGAAGGTGATATTTTCTGGGATCAAAAGGCCGTTTTTTCGTTACAAGAGGTTTAGTGCCGAGGTCACGTGATATTTGAAACTTTTCAAGGCTGCTGAATTTTTTAGACAAATCTGAGATAGTTCGATAGGGGTGTCTGAGGAGTGAATCTATAGGAATATTTTTTTTCAACGTAATTATCGCTTGAAAAGTATAAAAAACTTACTTCGAAATAGAGAAATTGAAAACAAAAACCAATTTTTTTACAATCGCTATTAAATCGAAACGCATAGACAAGATACACATCTTAGACACTTGGTATGTTTATTTGTTTGGATTTTGATAACTCACAAAAAAGGAAATATTCTTGTGATTGACCGACAATCCGATTGTTGATAAAATAATTTTACTGAATTTTTGTTGAAAAATAGTGAACCATGACAACTACCAAAAAAGCCTCAATGAAACATGATTTTTATAAAAGGAAATACTGTTTTCAAGAAAAATCTCCATATTGCAACATATATTTCTCACATGCTAGAAATCACCCGTTAAAATGCAAGCCCTCGTTAATCCTTAGCTTACATAAGTTTCCAAGAGATTTTTGTGCATTCATTCTCAATTGTCATGCAGTGTTTGAACCTTTGGTGTAGTAATGAATATTATTGGAGTTTTTCCCAACACCAAACCGTGTTTTGATCACCAAGTGATCATCTTCAAGAGGAAGATTAAACCTTTAATCTTCAAAAGGAAGATTAAACCTTTGATCTTTAAAAGAAAGAATGAATCTTCAAGAGGAAGATTACACCTTCAATCTTCCTCTTGATGATGATTACTTGGTGATCGAAACACGTGTCGAGGTGTTAAAATAATGGTTTCCGTTAATCAGCTTGAGAAAAAACTCCAGTAATATTCATTAATTTTCAGTCGTTTTTAATGAGGAAACAAGAAGTCACTCAGTATTTATAGTTCGTCATCTATGAAACGAATATTTGTTTTTTTGCGTTAACGATTACGTTACGGTACGTCTTATGTTGCGTTACTTAAACTATAAATCCAGCTTTAGCTTGCATAAGTTTCCAAGATATTTTTGTGCATTCATTTTCAATTGTCATGCACTGTTTGGAACCTTTGGTGTAGTAATGAATATTATTGGAGTTTTTCCCAACACCAAACCGTGTTTCGATCACCAAGTGATCATCTTCAAGAGGAAGATTAAACCTTTAATCTTCAAAAGGAATATTAAATCTTCAAGAGGAAGATTAAACCTTTGATCTTCAAAAGGAAGAATGAATCTTCAAGAGGAAGATTACACCTTCAATCTTCCTCTTGATGATGATTACTTGGTGATCGAAACACGTGTCGAGGTGTTGAAATAATGGTTTCCGTTAATCAGCTTGAGAAAAAACTCCAGTAATATTCATTAATTTTCAGTCGTTTTTAATGAGGAAACAAGAAGTCACTCAGTTCTTAGCTCGCACAAGTTTCTCAACTTCTGAGAGTTGTCGTTCGTATGAGGGCGACAGCTGATTAACGGAAAAACGTATTTTAAACTGATTTTTTTTATTCCGCAGTTGCAGACGAAACGTCAGACCCAAGAGACGTCTACAAGCTATATTCATTCAATATCTGTTCTTTATCGCAAAAAAACACAAAAAAACACAAAACAACTTATATATTGAGATTCATTTAAGTATTCAAAATTTAATAAGGTATGTTACTTTTTTTCAAATGAATGTGTGATCTCGTCTTTTAATGTACCTACCTATTATTTTTGTAAAAAATATTTTTTTTATTTTCGAAAACAATCTCTAACAATATACAATATCTGAACCAGATATACAGGTTTATTTATGCATTGTAGATGTGAGGTCTTATGAAATATACATAATACATGTCACTTCCCTGGTCACAGAAAATTGGAACTCCCTGGTATTGTATGTTAAAGAGCGCAGTCACACCCGGAGATAAAGGTGGCTATGCTTGATCCTGCGACGACCTTTCCTAGTTCTATGTGTTGACGTGAATGACATTTGGCAAGTGAATTGGCAGATTACAGATAGCGGTAAGAGAAGTAAGTAAAAACAGTAAACAGTTTTTTCGGTTTCGCGTTATGATTTCGAGGTTTTTAAATTCCAAGTCAGTGACGTGAATTTTCTCTAACATTTATATTTTGAAAAACCGTAAGCCTTTCAGTAAAATTCTCACTAATTTTCTTACATCTCGAATGAATCGATTAGTAAGAATTTTGCAACTCACATTTAAACATGACTTGAAAAATTGATCAGCAAGCTGATGCTCAGTGCTCAAGAATTGAATGATTTGTTTTTTTTCTAGTAATATCGAATGTCAAGCGGGATGGCTCGTAACGTAGATAATGTGTTCCTATTAGAACAGCAACAACCTTATAATAATACCTATTTTGGTAAACTATTAAGGCAAAATAGGTATAATTTACTCCAAGATATTCATGTTTTGTAGAAATATTTGTTTTACAGAGCTCAGTGTGTTGAATTAGGTAACGAAAAGAGTAAGCATATCTCGAAAGGAGTTCTACAAGAAAAGGTCTTGTTCTTATATCAACATTTGAGATGGAATGAACACAATTCATCTATTGTGAAAAGACTTGAACACCTACAAATCACTTAAAATCAGAAGTCACTGTCTCAGTTTAATGTATACTAACCTTTCTTTGGTCTGCTTGAATTATTCAAAAAACTCCAGAAATTCAGAGAATTAGAAAATTTTCAAAAATTGAGAACAATTTTTCAGTTTGGACCCAAGTTGTATAATGAAATTCTCTAGAATAAAGCAAACACCACAAATTTGTTGAAATAAACAGGTTTTTTGGTCAATTTTTTGATGTTATCATGTACACAATTAAATTGATATGTTGGACAATGTACAGTAAACTGAAAGTGAATACTTGGTATGAATAGATCACAAAACAAGCCATTCTATGCTTAGGCAACTATTTCTACTCCAAAATATAATAATGTAAAAGAGTCAATGTTTTGATGATGAATAAATACATTGGAAATGAAATAAAGAATTCAGAGGCCAATATTGAGCCCTATGATATAGGATAACCGCTACTTGAGATCGGTTTTCCAAATATTTGGCAATGCAGTTATATGTTATTTCTCTACATCATATACATTATAAATTTTCCAGAAGTAATCCATGGTTAGCTGTATTGAGAGGCCTGGAAAAGTTAAAGAATAGGCCAATTGAGGTGTGCATATTATGTTTCATAAAGATTTTATTACATCATTGGTCAATTGAAGTAGTCTGCTGTCTAAAGACTTGCTGGCTTTCAGGAATAACCTTGTAATGTTCAAAAAATTTTAATCAGTCTCAGACAGTAGCTACATACAATGATTTTTGAAAACTGAAGTTCTGTAATTGTAATTTATCTTTTAGATATGGTAGGGTTAAGATATTAAGTCGCTGATTTGAGTTTCATATCGTTAATAGAGGGAGGGTTTCAGTGAGAAATCGTTGATGAGATTTTATTTTATTTTATTGCCACACAGTGTGAATTCAAATGATTATCATCATATTTACAATTTTTCAAAGAAATCTACAGACAACTTTAAGGTTGAATATTACTGGAGTTTTTTCCCAACACCAAATCGTTATTTTTACACCTCGGCACGTGTTTCGATCACCAAGTGATCATCTTCAAGAGGAAGAGGAAGTTTTATCTTCCTCTTGAAGTATGAATATAATATAATAATTTATTAGTCTCAAGAAACACACAGTACAATTTCTAAAATAGGTTTGAGAGGATAAGACTGTAGATAAATTAGATTTTCAAAAAAAATACAAGTTAACTCCAATCTTATAAAAAATGTCCAAAATGTAGAGCCATGAGTTTTTACAAAAAATAAATCACATAGCTAACATATTATATATATTCAAAGTTGAGGAAAAGTTCGGGAGGTGACCACAAAAGTGTCTCTTTTTTCTTGAATAACTTCGAAAAATTGATCAATTTCATATAAAGGATGTTTGGTTAATATTTTCTTCAATAAGTTTTTGAATCTTCTAAGTGGCAAGTTACGAAGTTCGACAGATAAGGCATTGTATAGCTTAATTCCTATATTATCTGTTCTTTTCAACCTATTATCTGTTGGAACAAGGTTTGATTTATTTCTTGGATCATGTTGATGTATATCCTTGTGAGCAACTTTATTGTTGCTGAACAAGAAGCAGATTTTCATAGACAATTACCGTATATAGGGTTATTATTTTAAGTTTTACAATATTGGTCAACACTTTTCATCATAACTGGCAGAAACTATGCTTCTCACTGCAGATTTTTGAATGACAAATATTCTATTAAGATGTACCTTTGATGCATTATTTCAATTGATTATACTATACCTAAGGACTGAATGAAAAAGTGAATGATATGTTGCAAGTGCCGCACTTTGATTTACTATTTTTTTAATTCTTCTGATAGCAAAAACTGTCTTACTAAGTTTACTACACATGCTATTTATATGGTCTATCCATTTCAGGCTGGAATCTATTTGTACTCCCAGAAATTTGGTAGAATTTTTGTTATCTCGATTTAAGCAAATTGTTTCAAAAGTTAGAGTTTCTGTTTTTTGTTCATTGAGAATCAAGTCATTTGGTGTGAACCATGATCGAGCTTTCTCTATGTCAGTATGGATCATATGAGGATCATCTATTTTATATATTTTTTTGCCCAAGGTTGCATCATCTGCATACAATATAGTTTATATGTCTGACGAGTTCATCACGTGAGGCAGGTCGTTGATATAGATTAGGAAGAGAAGTAGCCCCAATATTGACCCTTGTGGCACTCCTCTTAATATTATTTCGTTAAGGTATGACTTCATCATGTCAAGGCAGACACCTCTCACTCCGTAGAAATCTAATTTGGCCAATAAAATCAAGTTATTTACAGAATCGAATGCTAAAGTAAGGTCTGTAAAAACGCTTGCATACTTTTCTTGGTTATCTGATACATGACTCTCAAGCAGAATCAAATGATTACAATTACAAATTCAAAATTATAATCAGTTGATTTATTTTCATTTGAAACACTGATTGGAGTGTCAATATTAAAATTTTCATAATGATGAGAAGTTGTATGGATTAACGTAGAAGAGTTTCGGAATACTTTTACTAGTGAATTTTCATTCGTACCACAAGTCCTTGCATTGCATTCCCAGTTTGGCCTTTTTGTACATTTTCCTTCAATGTTTTCACAATTTTATATAACATATTTCCATTTCTAGGGCAAGATTTTAATTTTTTTTTAGTCAAAATCTTCTCGCTAATCAAACCGTAAAGTTTCCTCACACGAATGCGAAAATAATCGCGGCGGAAAAAATAGCTCCCGTCTATTCCTAGAGAGAGAGGCTAGATGGACTGCATACAGACTTGTCTACATTGCCAATGGGGAATGTTCCTCAATTTGGGTTATTACAGCAAATGCAAGTTTGAACAAAATAAAGTTGAGTTTAATTCATGAGTTTTTCAAATTCACTTCGAAAAGTATTCAAATTGATGTTTCAAATGTTGGATTTTAATTTTTAAAGGGATTTGTTTCTAATTCACATATTGGCAACTCCCTTCGAAGGTTGATACCAAACAGATGTTGGACTACAGTAGGGATGAACTACGATGTCTAACAGGCCTTCTTACAGGTCACTGTCATTTGAATCATATGCAGAGACTTGGACTGTCGGAAGACAGTGTGTGTCGCCTCTGTTTGGAAAATGATGAAACAGCAGAGCATATACTTTGTGCCTGCCCCGCTGGGGACCGAATCAGGTTCTTAGAGTACGGCAGAGCCGTACTCTTACCATCTGACCTGATAGACCACTCACCACACAAACTAATCGGCTTCGTTAAGGAGCTGGGTTTATTTGGCCGAGTGTGAATAGGCGTGAGCCACAATAAACTCTTGCGGGTTGCGGTGGAGGGTCGAATAGACCCACTTACTTCAGACCTAACTTAACCCCTATATTCCTACACCAACGCGAAACATTCTTGCGGATTTTCATAGTTCTGTAACACCTCAATTATGAACGTGACGTACGATAAAAAAGAGACACTTCTGTTGTTAGCTTTATTAGAAGAACAAGAAAAAAAAGTAAATACCATTTTTCTAAATAGGTTGGCACCTCTTACTTTTTAATCCTGACGAATTACAGGAATTCGCAGGGAAACGCCAACCTGAATTTAACATATAATGGCGAATTGTGACTGGAATTGCCTTCATTCAAATAAAATATTGAGAAAACATATATTTTTTATGGGTGTCATCGACTGCATTGGTGATTAGCCTCGTGTCCTAGGTATGCGATGTTAATAACTCTCCGAGCCACCTAGCATCAAGGCTATTCGCAGTCCGTCAGCCCTGTAACGTTGCAGAATCATCCCAGCTTCAACTAGATAAATTATCTCTTTCTCTCTAGAAAAAGATCTGGTCGATATGAGAAGATATTTAAAAACTAATCCTATAATGTTGAACAAAAAAATCTACTACTTGAAGTATTCGTATTAACACTGTCAGGCCCTTTACGAACAGTTTATGAGGGGTGCAAAAGTCAGGCGAGGGGAAGGGAAAAGGTGGAGCTTGCAGGTAGCCAACATATGCTCATGAAAACAATATCAGCACAGAAGCAACTCGACAGTGGTGGTACGTAAATACGTTGTAATCGTGTGTTTCTAGGTTTGCGGTTGGATTATTGCTGTTTTATTTCGGTTTAGTTCAGTTTTGTAAAGTATAAGTTGTGCTTAGTGTATATTAAAAGACAAATAGAAGTTTGTTGGACAATATAAATATGGAAAGCAAACGTAGTTGGAGAGATGTTGGTCCTAAAAAAAGAATGAGTTTGAGTATAAGGCGCATTAGTACAAAAACAAGAATCGCTAGGCTATCCAAATACAAGTAAGTAAAAATTTAAGATTTTCAAAGAAATACTTTTGTGAAACAAAACTAGAATTTTAATGTACCTAGAAGTGAAAAGTTTATTTACGCCGTACATAAAGTAAAAATTTCACGCGTAGTTTCTAAAGTTTAACTTTATGCACTAGGGCGCGAATTACACTTTTTGTACTCACAAAATATCATTCATGTGTTCCATAAATATTAAATATGTGTCTTATTCTTTATTATTTCAGGTCCAAAACAAACAATGTAACGAATGAGTTACCTTTAATTTTGGAAAATAATAAGAATAACGATCCAAATACGGAAATATATCGGCAGATCAATTGGAAAGCGATAACAGAGAGATATCAT